ATGTATAATGAATACACGGCCTAAACAATATATCTTCTGGCACTTAATTGGGCGCCGGTAATGCATAACGTCATCAATATATTATATATTGCGTAGAATCTGAAAGATTTTCTCAATATTCATGTCTGAAATGTTTATATATTTGAAAACAACACTCTCTCGCACTTTCCTACCTCTGTATAATGGGTATACCGTGAAAATAATATCGGCACTCAATTGAATGCCTAGAATCTCAAAGATTTTCGACTCAATATTTACGTCTGAAATGTTTAATATATTATATACACTTGAAAAAAGCACTGTCCTAGCTCCTTGCTAGCTCTGTAAAATGAATATACCGGTCTAAATAATATCGGCACTTAATTGAATGCATTATTGCATAACATCAATTTATATATTGCGTAGATTCTCGAAGATTTACTCAATATTCACGTCTGAAATGTTTATACATTTCAAAACAACACTGTCTCGCTCCTTCCTAGCATCGTCACGCCATCGTGATCTACGGCTTGTTAGCGCATGCGCATTTGCGCTGCTAAAGAAAAAATCGGGTGTTCCGGGGGGAAAATCCTTTACACAACATGAGAAGCGCATGTTATAAAATTTACAATAACGACAACAATTCCTCGAATTTTTTGTAAACTTGGCAAAACTTGGCAAAAGACCTAAAGAATATTTAAATAAGACAACTAAAATTGCCTAAATAACCTTCAAAGTACAGACTAAGTACGATAAATCACTACGAACACATACCGTATACACCCCCCGGAAAGTTTACTGTATGACTGACTGAATGAATGAATGACTGACTGAATGACTGACTGTTTCGTTTGAATTTCCCCCCAGTCATCACAATACTGTGAAGTTTCGAAGAAACTTCACACTAAAAATCGTCTCATAACATATTTGCATGCGTACATTCGAGACGTCTTCTTTCTTTGCGTCTACAAGAACGTCAGCTTCATGTTTCAAGACTTTGGAACAACCGTTCTCGTTAATCACTTCGTATCCCTCACCAATGTGCACAAATACATAAGCAACGAAAACAAAACCGAGCATATTTGAAGAGTACATCGTCTGGCTGGTTCTGTTACACTGTATCGCAGCTTACCGGAACAAGACCTTATATAAAGCTATCGTACCCAGAGCCCGTCTTCAACGCGCGGTCGAGTGCAGCCGGATATTAGCTCATAGTCATATCCTGTCAGTAGAGAAAACAAGATGGCGGCTATCCAGTTTGTATTAAGGTCAGAGTGCCCAGCATCTTGCCTGGGAACAAGCATAATTATACATGTATATAGATTGACACGTAACTATATAAAACCTAGTGTAGATAGCCTGCGAGCAGACATCTTCTAGTGGCTAATATAAATCCATATACGTCCAATATCGACGATTTGAGTCGAATTGACAAAACGCTTTTAAAATCGTTCAAATGGAACTACGTGTTCCACTGGAAAGTGTACGATTCAAATTGATCAAATGAACACCATTTGATTCCGTTTGACAAACATGGTAAGTTTTATGGTATATTTTATCTTTTCAGATATAGCTGAGGTATCACTGATGAGACTACAGCCACAGAATAAAGATCAGTAACAGAAGGGCCACTCAGCGGTGCAACGTGTCCTCGTTTTTTTATGCAAAAATATGCAGTTTACTGGCCAGAAGGCGGAGCAGCCAGCCAGTACAGCGTGCTTATTAGCCGGAAAATGTCATTGACTGGCTAGGAAAATGGCGGCCAACATGCGTAATGAGACATGCGCGAGGCCCTTCTATATGGATCTTTATTCTATGCTACAGCACCCATACCCCAAATGTGCCTCGCCAATCAAATGCTGTAAAACCGCGACTATGAAGCATGCCGAAAAACTTCATATTTTATAGCCGCAGAAATAAAGTACGCCGCTAATTGAGTACGGGGAGGGGGTCTACCTACCTGTTTTACCCACGGTTTGATGTTTGCTTCAATACGTTTTTGACGGACATCTTTCTCAGTCACACCTATCGCCTTTCCGATTTGTCTATCGGAGAATCCCGCTTCTTTGGCTTCTGTTAGGAGTGAGTTAGATATATTCTTCCTAAAAATTAGAATAGATCTGTGAACCCGATGAAAACAAGTCTGCAATGACTTTAAAGGTTTAAGTCCATTTTCTATGTTTGATTATGACCCATATATACAAATAACCACATTCAAGGCTGAGATTGTATGGAAATGATGCGTAGAAATGATCAAATATATACCAAGTGTTTCATTCTGAACTTACCAATCTAAATTGGTAAGATTCTGGTCGATGTCAACAATTCTCTGTAACTTATGTAGAAACCATCGATCTATGGCTGTGAGTTCATGAATTTCATCCACCGTATAGCCATCATGTAGGGCCTAAAAAGAACATAACACGTTATAAAGGTTGCTGTTTTAACAACGTAAAGTTTCTGCTACCTAAAACCACTGAAAGTCAAAGTATCCCAAACATGGAATCTAGTGCTGGCAGTGTTCCACAATAAGCTGCCATGATTTGAGTCTGAACTTCGTGAAAAAGATTAAAAACACTTCCAGAGATAAATATCTGGCCTCTTGTGGCAGTCATACGCCCGTATTCTAAAAGCTCACTCGCACTCACACTCAATGAGTGGAGGTTCAATCTGAGCTTCTTTTGAGTGTCAGTGCTGTTTTTGAATAGCTGGAGGGTGAGTAGTCACATAGTAAGGTACGACACTAACCCTCCAGCTATTCAAAAACAGCATTGACACTAAAAAGAAGCTCAGATTGAACCTCCACTCATTGAGTGTGAGTGAGCTTTTAGAATAACGGACGATAGTCTACTAATCCCAGACAAACCTCATTCGTTCGATACGTTGACGTGTCTTTAACATACCGTTCAGGTAGTTCAGGCACAAACCACAACAGCTTATTGCTGTCAAAGCTGATACTACGTTTATTCAAACCTTAGCAATGGTGTAAACTCTTGTATTTGAAGGAACTTTTAGAGCAGTTTCAATGTCTTCACTCCATCCTTTTTGATGAGCGACAGGAACCTAAATAATATTTACCAAATAAAGCAATATTCTAGGAATAATAAACAAATTTAGGAAACCTAAACTAACTTGGTGTAGACTGACTAATTAACTGTCCTTCCGTAGGCTATTTACGTTACACGTTTCAGAAAAACAACAACGCTAATTTATACCTTCGCTACAAACCCGTCAACGGCAGGATGGACCATTCTCATGGCTTTCTGAAAACTTTCTTCAAACGTTCGTCCAATTGCCATCACCTCGCCAACACTTTTCATTGCGCTGCCGATTTCCTTCGGCGTCTGATGGAAACGATCTAAGTCCCAACGAGGAATCTGAAGTTTATAAAGGAGGGAATGGATAATATTCTCGCTAAGTACAGAGTAAATGCAGCATCAATCATTCTCTGGCTTCATGACAAAATCTAATCATCACCACCACTCTAATAACCATTGCCATAACACCATCATTACATCACCCAGGGGTGGAAAAAGTATCGGAACATGGGAACCTAGTTCCCAGACATTTTTTTGAGTTGAGAGTTTTGCAGAAAATTTTCCAGAAAATATTTCAACATTTTGAGATAACTCTGTTTACTCAACGTACAAGTCACAACTGGTCTACTTTATTTACACTGTACACGCTAACATCAGCATCCTTTTAAATATTTGACAGAAATTAATTCTTTTACCCACCCCTGCCATCACAATGAGGTAAAATGGTAAATATATGCTCTGCAAAGTCTCCAATAAAATGAAAATTAAATAGTAAACAAATAAAAGTGATGGAATAAATAAGATGATAGGACACTTAGTTAAGCATTAGATCCTTACTAGTTGGTCATAACTCATAAATGTGGTACATAACAGACAACTATTGCGATGTACGAGCATGCAAAAACCTGCCTAAAGCCTATTATTACTAAAGTACAAATAATACAATTATGCATTTGTTTTGTTATTTTTGTAATTGTAACATTGCAAATTTTACAGAAAATTTCTAGCCTTCGACCCAGGTTCCCAGAAAGAAAAAAAATTTCCCACCCCTGACATCACCATTATAAAAATCATCATCATCACAATCACCATCATCACAAGTCACAACAAAACATCACCACCATCACCATCATTGTCACCACATCATCATTACTGCCATTATCATCACAAGTCACAACCTACTATCACCTATCATCATAAGTGTCACCGTCATCACTACCACCATTATCAAAACCACCAATATCATCACCATCACCACCAACACAAGCACCAATATCACCACCATCATCACAAGTCACAACCTCAGTGGTCACAACATACCATCACGATTATCGTCAGTGTCATCATCGTCATCACCATCACCACTACCATCATTACCATCATCCACACACTACCACCATTCACATCACCATCATTATCACCACTCTTACCTTCGTCACAATATAATCCAAACTCGGTTCAAAGCAAGCACTAGTCTTTTCCGTTGTAGCATTTGTGATATCAGGTAATGGTATACCTAGGGCCAGCTTTGCAGCGATGAAAGCTAAGGGATACCTAAATAGGGAAGTTAATGTTGTTGCTTTTGTTGTGGATGATACTCTTGTTGCCAAAGGAATTCGAAGTTACAATATTACGCCCTGGGCAAATTAGGAAGATTATGATGGAAACATCTGAAACCTTTATATTAATTAAGCGTCCCCCCTTTGCCTTCCCTTGGACAGTTGACGTAAAAATATATTTTATATCTTAGGAAGCAAAAATGTTTCCCAGCAAATTGAGAAATATATTTCGCTTCCCAAGTGTGACTTTTCTTGTGGAAACAATGTTTCCTAGTTCGCCCAACTTTAAGAAAATGGCCAAGAAACAATGTTTCCTGGTTTGCCCACATTTCGGAAACATGGCTAGGAAACAATGTCATCAAGTTTTCTTGTTTCAGATGTTGTGCACTGGACTAGACTCACGAAGTATCAACTGAACCGACTTGACCTTGTAGCTCAGTTGGTAGAGCATTGGACTAGCAAACCAAAGATCGCGGGTTCTATTCTCACCGGGGTCAAGCAAACTTTTCAGCTTGCCCGGTGTGGACACAGTGACTCAGTTTGTCCAAGGCACTGCTCTTAGAAATAAAAACATGTTATTTCTTACCCAGTTGCTTTAGAAGCAAGTGCTGAACTTCTAGACAGTCTTGCGTTCACCTCGATAATGCAGTAATCCAAAGATGATGGATGAAGAGCATACTGTATGTTACATTCACCAACGATACCCAAATGACGAACAACCTAGGTCAACCGGAAGTTAACTGAGCGAGAACATCAGTGGCGTGGGACGATATGTTAAGTTAGAGGGGGCTGAAATTTTATAAAACTAGTGGTGCACAAGCTCGGGGAAAATTTTAAAAATCGAGACTCGAAAATGCCATTTCCTTCAATTTCTGGCGCAAAATTGAAGAACTTATACAGCAAAAATGTTGCCAAAAAATTGAAAAATTATTGATTGTATCTGCTGCAAAATTATTGATTAATAATAATATTGATTACATCTGCTGTAATAATCATTGATTATATCTTTTGTATTGATCATATCTGCTGCAACAATTATTGATTAATAATAATATTAATTATATCTGCTGTAATACTTATTGATTAATAATATTGATCATATCTGCTGTAATACTTATTGATTGATAATAATATTGATTATATCTGCTGTAATAATTATTGATTATATCTGCTGTATTGATTATATCTGCTGTACCGTAACGGGCATAATAACGCATGTTGAAACCCACCAAAAGACAATTGGATTTCACTGTTCAGTTAAAAATGAGTTCCTATGGTTTCTTTTATACCTTGATAGCTGTTTCTCGCAACATGTGGTATTCTTCATTTGAAAGAGTTTGACTGGGTGCAACCACAATTGAGTCACCTGAAGAAATATGAATTCAATATTGAGACAAATTGAACTCTTTTTAACGTATCTAAATAGCATTTTCTAGTCGATAGGGAAAGGGGATTTTCAAGTAAGTAAATATGAGAGGATATGCGCTCAGAGATCTTAGACTATTAGCGCAAATCCTGCATGGTTAAGTAAAATATAATTCATTGTTTGAGCTTGTGTGTATGTCTCTACATACCCGTGTGAACACCTAGAGGATCGAAGTTTTCCATGTTACAAACTGTCACACAATTATCAGAAGCATCACGGACCACTTCGTACTCTATTTCTTTCCAGCCAAGTAAAGATTTCTCAATCAGAGCTTGGTTAGTCAGAGCAAACGCCTAAAAGAAAGCGATTATTGCTTTGCTTACAAATTTATTCGTGTTTAACTTAATAAACTAACCCCTAACTTTTCTTAAGTAAGACTCCAGCTTAAGCCTGTGCTTCTGACGGATGCAAATGAGTGAACTCGCACACAAAAGTATAGAGTCGCTTTTCAGAAGTAAACAATTCTAAGTCTTTTGCATGTCTTTCATTCGATCACATTTGCCAGGAGGAGAAAAATCGCCGACAGAATTGCTAGTGTGAACCTGGCTTTAACCGTATCTCAGATTTCAAGCTAACAAGTTATATGGCTAAGCCAAAAAAAATGTGGGTTCCTATTTCTTCTTGTAAAAACTTAGGTAGGATAGGTCGGTTTTAACTTTTTTTTTAAACTTTTTTTTTTAATTTTCCTAACAACCGGACCAGGGCTGCAAATAAATATTTGACTTGACAGGACATTTGTCCAATCACTTTTAATTTTGGTCGCACATACCTTGAATTTGGTCGGACAAAAACCAACACCACTAAATTTGGTCGGATATATATAAGTCACGAGACAAGTATGTATAGCCATTCGGGCGCAATGTTACTGTAAGTAAAATGCTAGAATACCTTGTAAATTATATTGCAAAATGCAAATTGAGTGAATTTGCAATCGGATTTTGTCACAGCAAAAAAATGTATAATGTGACAATTTTTTGTGATCGGACCAATGTCCTATCAAAATTACTTTTGCTCGGACATTTGCCAAATTTAGTCGGACATTATCCGATGTCCGACAGTGATTTGCAGCCCTCAAAGATAAATTTCCCTAATATTGCCTCAAATTTCCATTTTTCACAAACGTTTTCCTCTCAGTGGAAACACTTACAAGCATGATCCAATAAAAAGTTTAGGGTCGGGATTTCGGCGTCCAAAAGCTAGGTAGGGTCGGGAAACCGGAAACCCACATTTTTTTGGCCCTATAAGGTTCGTGGCTATAAGGTGTGCTGGATACCTTATAGCCACGGTAGGGCATGCCAGATTTCTTTGCCTCAAACCTTTTCTGTAGTTTGTCTCAACTTTTCTTCATTATCGCACAAACCAGAACCCAGTCCTCCAAGAGCGTAGGCAGCGCGGACCATCACAGGGTATCCAATCTTAGAAGCCGCTTGAACAGCCTCGTCAACCTTTTGAACAATAATTCAAACATACAGTCTAAATTACGTCACAGACACCTATCTCATTCGGACTGTTTCCTATGTGCCAACAAAATTCTCGCACATTTTCTTTAAGAACCTCCCTAATAGGGACAACGTAAATCTTCCCTCTTTCCAGATACACAAATATCTAATGCTTCAATCACTTATCTTCAACTGGACCGCAGATGAATAAATAGAATTCAGAGTTCGCAGTAATGCGTTCAAAGTAGTGTAGTTCATTTCGTTCCAAAACAGTCACTCGTAGTCTCATTAATTCGACGTTTTAAACAGGTCTATAAGGTACCGGTCATTATTTATTGGGGGGGGGGGGGG